GCCCTCTTGAGACCAGGCCTGCATCGGATCCTGCGTTCGTCGTGCCCGCGTCGGCCTCTGCGCGCAGTCATCTTCTCATCAGCTCGGCCGCACTGGCACCGCACGGTCTGGTGTTAGCGTCGACGCCAGACGTCCGAGCTCATTGTAGATCTGTCTTGCAGGCAGGGCATTGGAGCCGATGCACAGTGGAGGATTGCATCAGGATATCGCATCCCATGGAGGTTGGTGAGCGAGCCGGCCAGGTAATCTTGAATCTTGTATCTGTCAGGTCGACGGCGAGCCATTGAATGAATACTCACTGGCTGCCGTCTCGGAGATCGGGCACTGGAAGGGACAGGTGAGTACTCACAGTGGGAGGTCAGACGCGCTGTGTGAAGGTCGAGGCCAGCACTGCTTGCAGGCGAAGCTCCCCGCACGGACCGATAAGCGTTCTCGGATATGTGACTGCGACTCGTGAGTCTAAGATCTGTTGCAACATGAGTACCGAGCTGATACGTTCGCTGCATGATGCATGACCGATATCTGCGCGTGAATATCGGCCTTTACCGGGTAGAGGGAGAGCGCGATGCAAAGGCAAACACGCTGTTTGTTGCCGTGGAGTTTGAGGGGTTCAACCATGGTCAGTTGACGTGCAAGGTAAGGATGCGACGTTACCACTTACAAGAGACACACCTTTCATGTTTACAAATGACTGGCGAACTCCATTTGAACATACGTGAACGCAGATCGCCCGCAGACCTCCGATCTCCAGCCGTCCCAATAAGTCTCTCCTCTATGCACCAGCCGCAACCGGGTCCGCCTGTACCAGCTCCAGATCACTCTCGGGGATGAGCGCATGGCCGCCTTCATCGCGCACAACCACGGCCCACCCGGCCCCACCTCCTCTCGCTACAACTCTGACCACCTGCTCCTCCTCGAGCGCCATCTCCGCGGTTCCCTCTGGCTCGAACGCAAACAGGGCATGGTACAGACCAGGCACGAGCGGCTCGTCCTGGCTCGGATACGTCCCGTCGTCCTCGCCAAAGTCGTCGTCGTCCTCGCCGCCGAAACTCTGAGGCTGGGCACGGGCATACGGGTCGTCGTCTTCCTCCGTCAGCGAGCTCG